CATACAGCAGGGTCTGCAGCCCTTTTGAAAATTTCCAAGTCCTGGATGGTAAGAGTCCTACAGATTTGCCAGCATCAGCCTTCCAGCCACTCATCCATCCTGACCCCCTACATATTTTTAAAAATATTTTTATGTATTTGAGAGAGAGAGCACACACAAGCAGAGGAAGAGGGAGAAGCAGACTCCCCACTGAGCAGGGAGCCTGATGCAGGGCTTGATCCCAGGACTCTGGGATTATGACCCGAGCTGAAGGCAGACGCTTAACTGACTGAGCCACCCAGGCGCCCCTCCCCTACATATTCTTAGAGAAGAAAGCAATGGGTCCCTTGTGCAGTGTCCCATACCACTGGCAAAGCCAGTGCTCAGTCACTTTGCTCTCTCTTTCCCTATGGAAGGAATCCCAGGCCAAACTGAGGGGGTCTCAACAATGAGGTGTGCTACTTTGAGGGAGGGGTGATGCAGGTGAAGTGAAACTGTTCTTCTTACTATCTGCAGTCTGCCTACTCTCAGTTTATTTGCTCCAGTTGTGTGCTGGAAATTCTCCCCTGGACTTCCCAAAAGCTATTCTCTTCCTTGGGTGCTTGTCCAAACTGGTGCACTGGGAGGAGATTTGAGTAGAAAAGTCTTATTCCACCTTCTTTGTAACATCACTTTTTTATTGACCCAGACGTAATTTAGAACTGTGTTGTTTAATCTCAGAGTATTGGGGGTTTTCCAACTATCTTCCTATTATGGATTTCTAGATTAATACTATTGTGTTTGCAAGCATATTTTGTATGATTTCTTTTCTTTAAAATTTTTAAGCTGTGTTTTATGTCCCAGAATATGGTCTATTTTGGTGAATGTCTCATGTGAACTTGAGAAGAATGTATATTCTGCTGTGTTTGAATGAAGTGTTGCATGGATTTCAATTATATCCCCTTGTTTGATGGTGCTATTTAATTCAACTATGTTTGTTATTCTGTAATTATTCCAAAGTTCTTGGATTTCTGTATTCTTTTTATTTCAGCTTCAAGGACCCTATTGACATCTTCTTTAGCTCACTGATTCCTCATACATTTCCACTGTATTGATGAGCCCCCCGGAGGAATTCATTTATGTTCTGTTCTTTTGGGTTTTTAAATTTCTTGTGTTTTCCTTTTGATTCTTAGAGTTTCTACCTCTTCTTACATTACTTATCTATTCTTGCATTTTATCCACTATTTCCATAGATCACAAGCATATTAATCATGGTTACTTTACATTTATGGTTAGATCATTGTAACATATTGCTACATCTGAATCAAGGTCTCTTGCTTGTCCTATTTCCTGAAAATGTATTTTTTAAATCAGTATGCCTTTTAACTTTTTGTTGAATGCTGGACGTGATGGACTGTGAAAAAGGAACTGAGGTAAATAGGCCTTTAGTGTGAGGGTTCATGTTTATCTGAGTAAGGTTTAGGCTGTGTTTACGATCTGTTGTGGCTGTCAGAGGCTAAAATATTCTCAGTTATCCTTGCTTTTGTCACCCATGTTGTTCTTAGGGTTTATGGAGGTTTCTTAAACAAGTTCTGAAATGTATAGTTCTTTTTTTTTTTTTTAAAGATTTTATTTATTTATGTGTGAGAGAGAGAATGAGAGACAGAGAGCATGAGAGGGAGGAGGGTCAGAAGGAGAAGCAGACTCCCTGCCGAGCAGGGAGCCCGATGCGGGACTCGATCCCGGGACTCCGGGATCATGACCTGAGCCGAAGGCAGTCGCTTAACCAACTGAGCCACCCAGGCGCCCCCTGAAATGTATAGTTCTTTTGGTTTATTCCAAACAGGAGTCTTCCTGATGTAGTGGAATGTTGTGGGTAGAGAGGAAGTGTTCTGTATCCTATGATCTGGTCTTAGTATTTTAACAAGCATGTGTCCTTGGACTGTGACCTTCTTTGGTATAATAGGAAAGATATTTGGTCTTTGTCCATGGTTCCCAGCCAAGACTTCCTAAAGCACTTGGACTTTCTGAATGATAAGGGTGATGGGAGCATCTTATGTTCTAATGAGGTAATTGTTTGCTAGCCCCTAGATAGCTTCAGGATGGGAGTTAGTCACCAGGAAGACCGAACTTGGATTGGAGGCTTAGAACTTTTAGCCCAGTCCCCAACCTCTGGGGAGTGGGGAGGAAGGAGTTGGAGATGGAGTTATTTGCCAACTGCCAATGATTTAGTCATTCATGCCTATGTAAGGAAACTCCATAAAACCCCCTAAACCTCAGGATTCAGGGGGATTCTAAGACACCAATGTGCTGGAAGTGTGTTGTATTTGGAGAAGGCATGGAGGTTCCTACCTCCGCCATGTACTTTGCCCTGTATGCCCCTTCCATTTGGCTGTTTCTGACTTGTATCTTTTATAATAAATCAATAATGATAGCATTTTATTAGTTCTAAAGTGTTTCTGTCAAATTAACAAACACAATCCAGGGAACCTTTGAATTTGTAGTTGGCCATGCAGAAATGTGTGTAGCCAGCCGCCTCTCCCCCATTTGTGGTTGGCATCCGACATGGGGGCAGTTTTGTGGGACTGAGCCCTTAAACTGTGGAATATGATGTTAACTGTATTTTGTGTTAGAATTAAATAGAATTGTTGGGATGCCTGGGTGACTCAGTTGGTTAAGCATCTGCCTTTGGCTCAGGTCATGATCCCAGGGTCCTGGGATCAAGCCCCGCATCGGGCTCCCTGCTCAGCGGGGAGCCTGCTTCTCCCTCTGCCTGCCGCTCCCCCTGCTTGTGCTTTCTCTCTCTCTCTCTCTCTGACAAATAAATAAAATCTTAAAAAAAAAGAAAAAGAATTAAATAGAATTTTAGGCCACCCTTACCCTTAGAGTTGGAGAGTTGGAGAACTGGTGTTTGGGAAATACACCATGTATTTGCTCTCAGGAGTTAGAGAAAAAAAACAAAAACCTCTCAACCTCACAGTATTTCTAAGTGCCCCCTCCCCTCAACTTAGGTCAGGTAGGAAAGCTAAAGGGAACTCAGGTTGGCTGTTTCATCCCCCCACCTCCTCACCCCTGCTGTGTCAGGTAGGTTCTGGTAAAATCCCAGTCAGTCAGCCTCTTGAAAAGCAGATTATATTAAGGACAGGCCTCGTTAAAGAGAATGATATGGGCATATGTCAAAATGGCTATATTTCTGTCTCTCTTTCCAGTTCTGGAGACAGCAGTTTGCCCTGTGATTAATGCTTTCATAGTTCCGTGGTGTTGATTTTAAGTTTGTTAGCTTTTTTCCAGTGAGGATAGAAATGTCACTTCTAAGTTCCTTACATACCAGATGACAAACCAGAGGTCTCTGTTTTTTAATGTTTGCTGGTGGACAGCTTTAAAAAAATTTTTTTTTTTTTTAAAGATTTTATTTATTTGCGAGAGAGAGAATGAGAGCATGAGAGGGAGGAGGGTCAGAGGGAAAAGCAGACTCCCCGCTGAGCAAGGAGCCCGATGTGGGACTCGATCCCGGGACTCCAGGATCATGGCCTGAGCCGAAGGCAGTTGCTTAACCAACTGAGCCACCCAGGCGCCCTGGCTGACAGCTTTAAAAGCCTCATTCCTCCTCCTTCTCCTTGTGCCCTGCATCTGAACAAGGTAACAGGAAAGCCTGCCTGCTCACTGCTTTCGCGCTGGCAAGAGATTCAACCCCGGGAAGCCCCTGCCCTTGTGCCCAAACTCTCACTCTAGACGGCCCCTGAACTTCAAGAAAGAACCTAGGCCAGGCTCCTTTCCTTGCTCTTTCTCTTCCTTTTCTTTCTTTAAAGATTTTATTTATTAATTGGTGGGGGGGAGGCAGAGGGAGAGGGAGAGTCTTAAGCAAACTCTATGTTGAGCGCAGAGCCCCACATGGGGCTCGATCTCATGACTCTGAGATCAGGACCTGAGCTGAAACCAAAAGTCAGCTGCTTAACTGACTGTGCCACCCAGGTGCCCCCTTTCCTTGCTCTTTCAAGGCATTTCCCACCTGCTTGGGAGGCCTGCCCTCCCTGGACACTTCCATTATCAACGTAATTAACCTTTTCATTTGTTCCTGGAAGGGATATGTTGTCAACCAAACCTAGAGTGGGGGCCCACCTGACTTTACCGGTGACCATAACAGTTCTAGAGAGGGTAACATGGCATATATATTGTAATACACTTTGCTTAATTATTCTATTAATAAATACTCCAGATCTTTACATATCAATACATGCCACCCTTTGTTTTTTAAAAAAAGTAGGTATGAAGATGACTTTATCCAGGCAATTCTTAATTTTTTTTTTTAAGATTTTATTTATTTATTTGAGAAAGAGAATGAGAGAGAGAGAGAGAGCACATGAGAGGGGGGAGGGTCAGAGGGCGAAGCAGACTCCCTGCCGAGCAGGGAGCCCGATGCGGGACTCGATCCAGGGACTCCAGGATCATGACCTGAGCCGAAGGCAGTCACCTAACCAACTGAGCCACTCAGGCGCCCCAGGCAATTCTTTCTAAATACAGTTGGATTTTAACCAATTTTGCCACCAAAACCATGAGTGAAAACTCAGATTGCCAAATTACAGAACAAACATACAAATTATGTTCTTTTCAAACAGAATTTCTTAAGATTTTTATCATCAAATATATTGAGGAAAGAACGAACAAAATGTTTTGCGGTGGGATTTGCTAATAATATAAACATCCTTGAAGTCATCATCAAGATTCCTAACTGTGGGCAGTAGGCAGGGTCTCCTCATGTTCTGCTCCCTGGCTCACCTCTGTCCTGCCCCATAGATGACCACTGTCCTGATACTTTGTTTATCCTCGACACCTTTACCATCTATCATTTTTCACTAAGCAGAGTTCTTTCAGCTTTCCTCCTCCAGCCTTTGAACAGGTAAGTATCAATGGGATTACACTGAAAGGTTTTCCAGTGGTTTTTTGCCTCCGTCTGTTTCTCACATGCGAGCCCCGGAGGCTTCTGGGCTGGTCTAGGACCGTCCAGACATCATGACATCATGACCCTCGGTGAGGTCACCTTTGTCCGTGTTTGTGAAGAAGGGTCACGGACCTCGGCGAGAACAGGTCGCAGCCACTGCCCAAGCAAGGTCGGCTCAAAGACGTGACCCCCGGCCTGCTGTCACTCAGGCGGGCGGGGGCGGGGCCGTGCGAACTGTCCAATCAGGGGAGTCGCCGGAACCGTACGTGCGGGCGACGCGCTGTGGACGGCGGGGACTGTGTGCCGTCGCTGCTGTCCGGCCGAGGTTCGCGTCCCCTCTCGCTGTCCGGAGAGGCTTCGGGAGCTTCCGCCACATCCTCTGTGGCCGTGGCCTCCGCCGGCCACGGCAGTCGTATGGTGGCTCGACCCGCCACCCCAGAAAGCGAGCAATGGTGAGTGTGCGGGGCCGGGAGTCGGGAAAGGGGCGCGGCGGGGCCGGCTGGAACCGGCCGTGGCGGGACCTGGCCTCCCCGCCGTGAACTCTGCGGACCCGAGGCCGCCGGTGGCGCGGCACGCAGCGCGGGGCCGGGCCGGCTGCCGGGACCGCCGGCGTCCTGTCCTGTCCTGTCCCTGCGCGGCCGCGTCTCCCTTGGGTTGGGCGATGACCACGGGGCGGGTCACCAGGGGACAGTCCTGCCTCGGTCTCCCGGGTTCGTGCGCGCGAGATGCTGTGGTCTGTGGGGTCCCCATCCCTCTCCCCGGGGCACCCGCTTTCTCCTCACTTTTCCAAACGTTTGGGGAGTAGGGTCTCAAAGCCGCGACCCTGTGGCCCCTGCCTAGCTCTTCACAGGACTGGCAATAAATGCCTAAATTTCCAGATCTTTCCCTGCATTCCGAAACGCCATCTTTCCTCTCCAGTTCATAACATCATTATTAACTATTTGTTCTCCATGATGCGTTTCAAATTACGCAGTATTTTATCATTTATCCACAGAGCCATGAATGGCCCTTTTGAAAGACTTCTTTTTTTGGGTATTTTACATGATTAGAAAGCAGAGAATAATCACCTGGAACTGTTTTATGAAATCCTTGTGCCCCTCCCCCCAGGATCTTTCCTGGACACTGATGTCCTATCGGAAGTCCTTTGAGTGAGTGGGAGGTTCTTGAAAACTTTCCTGGGTGATCTGTCCTGTCAGCATTGCCCCTCCTTGCATTTGTCACCCTGAAAAGATTTATTCACTTGAGACTTAGCTTGGGGGATAGTATAAAGTATTTCCAAAAAGGCGAATTTCAGAAAAAAAAAATTACTTTCTATTTGTTAAAATTTGTTCCCCTTTTTCTTCTAAGTGGGCATAGTAATATTCTGAGGTACGTTCTTTCAGGTGATTTTAAATGGCATATCAGGGCCTAGACCTGTAACATTAAGTATTCCAATACAGTTGTTTACAAGTCAATTTCTTTTCTTGGAGATAATTGACATCTTCATTTTCTGGTAGTAAAAAGTTGGTTTTCTTGTTGAACTAGTAAAATTGCTTAAAATTTTCTTTCCTCCTTTACACATAAACACTGGGTGTGTGAGATTTTGCGGGATTCTTGAACCACTGGGTTTGTCATTTAAATTATCAATGGTGGGTGCCTGGGTGGCTCAGTTGGTTAAGCGACTGCCTTCGGCTCAGGTCATGATCCTGGAGTCCCAGGATCGAGTCCCGCATCGGGCTCCCTGCTCGGCAGGGAGTCTGCTTCTCCCTCTGACCCTCCTCCCTCTCATGCTCTCTATCATTCTCTCTCTCTCAATAAATAAATAAAAATCTTAAAAAAAAAATAAATTATCAATGGTGGTGCAAAGCACTGTGATTGGGGAGCAGAGGCCTGAGGCCAATGACTCCAAGCTAAGGCCATTTTGAGCTGGCAAAGGCAAAGGGAGTTTCCTTAGGCCTAGATGTTTTTACATGTTTGGGTTTTGCATCCATGGTAGAGGTGCACTCAGTATAATTTTTGTTTTGAGAAGCTCTGTGAAAGTCCAGAGCTCTGTCTCCTGGACAAAATGTTTATGAGTTTGGGAGTTCATTTTGGGTCACAACCTTAAACTGAATCTTCCTGAGAGTTTCCTCATGTGTAATATTGGAAACCTTGGGGAAGAGAGTTCCTGTAAGCTGCTGGGAGAGAGGGTGTGCGGGGCTCGCAGAGTTCATTCCTGCAGGTGCTCAGGTGTCCGTGCCCGCCCTCGTTCACCAGAGGCTGACCCACTGTGGAGGTGCTGTCTCAACTGGGAATGTCTGGAGCCCGGCTTGGGAGTGTAATTTCTGAATATGGGTTTTCCTTCTTAACTCTGGGTAAGCAGGCTGCTTATCTGAGCTGATTTGAATGTTTGCATTTCTTTCCTTGGCATTCTTTTTTATCTGTTGAATATTCCAGTCTTTTCAGTCTAGTTTCCCTTAGTAGTTTGCAGTTTTATTTGCTGTCTGAATGGGTAAGATTTTTTATTTCTTGGGCTTTGAAGATGTAAGTTGAGAAAAATGTGTGAGGCAAGAAAATCTTGAAACCAAACGGAATTTTTATTCCTTTTAGGCAACAATCTCAAGCTGTGAGATGGGCATATTGAAGTTCTCGGGCACATTTTTCATTTTTATTGTTTTTTTTTAATATAAAGATTTTATTTTTAGGAAATCTCTACACTCAATGTGGGACTTGAACTTACAACCCCGAGATCAAGAGTCGCATGCTCTACTGACTGAGCCCACTGGGCGCCCCTCTTTTTTCATATATAGAGCAGTTTTTTGTATGTGCATGTCTCCAGGGAACTTTGACATTTAAAAGTCTATACTATTTTTTAAGGCAAATGAATTTCTGTTTTAATTGATGTCAGAAAAACTACCCAAGCTTATGTAAATCTTTAAAAGTCCTAGTAGGTTTCAGGGTTTAAATGCAGCCTCCTGGGGCTCCTGGGTGGCTCAGTAGTTAAGCGTCTGCCTTCGGCTCAGGTCATGATCTCAGGGTCCTGGGATCGAGCCCCACATCAAGCCCCGCATTGAGCCCCACTTTGGGCTCCCTGCTCGGCGGGAAGCCTGCTTTTCCCTCTCCCACTCCCCCTACTTGTGTTCCCTCTCTTGCTGTCTCTCTCGCTGTCAAATAAATAAAATAAAATATTTTAAAATAAATGAATGAATGAATGAATGCAGCCCCCTAATGCAGTGCAACATGCTATTCATTCCTGACAGTATTCTTAGTGTGAAATATAGTGGAGGGACAAACTGTGATTTCCCTTGTCCCTTTAGTTAGTTAAAATTTTTCATTTTTTATGGGTTGTAGTTTTATACCCATTAGTGCTTAAGGAATTAAATCTTAGAATGATTTCCTATGTAAAAAAGTTTAAATTAATTTAAAATTAAATTTAAAGTAGCAAAAGTTGAAAACTATTAAGCAGTAAAATATATTGTATATAAGTTTGCTGCTTCTATATTAATTGCATGCTAAGGATTACAATTCATAAGAAACTAGTAGACTTCAGAAAAAAATTTTAAGATATGAAATGACGAGAGTTCAGGTTTTTGTTAGAGCATTTTGTTTACAGAAAAACTGATCACAAAGTACAGAGTTCCCACCTGACCCCTTTGCATCCACAGTTTGGAGTATTTTTTACATCTCCTGTTACTGTGGTATGTTTGTTACAATTGATGAACCAGTAGTCATGCATCGAAGTCTGCTGTTTATGTGGACATAGACATTTAGTGTTATATACAATCAATGGGTTTTGGCAAAGGTATAATGACAGGTGTCCATCATTTCCTTTTTTTTAAGATTTATTTATTTTGGAGAGAGAGTGCGTGCGTGTGTGGGGGGAGGTGGGGTGAAGGGGAGGGAGAGAGAGAATCTCAAGCAGACTCCGTGCTGAGCATGGAGCCCAGTGCTGGGCTCCCTCCCAGGACCCTGAGATCACGACCTGAGCCGAAACTAAGAGTTGGATGCTTTACCAACTGCTGCACCCAGGCACCCCTGTGTTCATCATTTCGACATCATATAGAATAGTCTCTCCTTTTCCTAAAAATATCTTGTGTTCCACCTGTTTAATAATCAGCCTTCCCTCCAACACCCCTGTCTTTCACCAAAAGATCTTCTTACTGGCTAATAGTTTTGTCTCTTCCAGAATGTCATATACTTGAAAACAATGTATTTAGCCTTGTCAGAGTGTCTTCTTTTACTTAATATGCTTTCAAGTTGCCTCCTTGTCTTTTGTTGGCTTTATCCTTCATTTCTTTTTATCACTAAACAATATTTATCAGATACATATACAACAGGTTGTTTATTCATTCTACTGTTGAAGGATATTTTGCTAAACTCTTGGCAGTTATGAATAAAACATCCATAAACATTCATTTGCATGTTTCTGTGTGAGTACAGAGTTTCGGTTCATTTGGGTAAATACCGATTATGATCACTAGATCCTCTGGTAAGAGTATGTTTAGTTTTATAAGAAACTGTCTTCCAAAGTAGGCATACCATTTTCCATTCCTAGCAACAATGAATGAGGATTCCTGTAGGTTTACATCTTCACCAGTATTTGGTGTTCTGACTGTTTTGAATTGTATCCATTGTAGTAAGTGTCTAGTGATATCCATTTATGTTCTATTTATAATTCCCTAATGATACTTGAAGTTAAACAACTTTTCATATGCTTATTTGCAGTCTGTATTATCTTTGGTGATACGTGTTCAGATCATTTGCCCATTTTTAATTGGATTATTTGTCTTAGTTTTAAGAATTCTTTGGACATTTTGTGTGTCCTTTATCAGATAACTGTTCTGCAAAGATTTTATTTATTTGAGTTAGAGCGAGCGAGAGAGAGAGAGCACAAGCAGGGGGAGCATTAGAGGAAGAGGGAGAAGCAGGCTCTTCACTGAGCAGGGAACCCAATGCGGGGCTCAATCCCAGGACCCTGGATCATGACCTGAGCCGAAGGCAGATGCTTAACCGACTAAGCCACCCAGGCGCCCCGTGACTGTTCATTTTCTTACCACTCTCTTTTGTAGAACAGGGTTTTTATTTTAATGAAATGAAGCTTCCCATTATTTTTCTTTCATGGATCTTGCTTTTGGTGTTGTATCTTAAAATTCATTAGTTAACCCAGGATCATCTCCTATGTTATATTTTAGGAGGTTTTTTTTTTTTTTTTAAGATTTTATTTATCTGACAGAGAGCGAGAGAGGGAACACAAGCAGGGGGAGTGGAAGAGGGAGAAGCAGGTTTCCCACTGAGCAGGGAGCCTGATGTGGGGCTCGATCCCAGGACCCTGGGATCACGACTCAAGCCGAAGGCAGACGCCTAACGACTGAGCCACCCAGGCGCCCCATATTTTAGGAGTTTTTAACTTTAGATTTACTATATATTTTTGGTTAAGTTTTGGGAGAGGTGTTAAGGTCAGTGTCTAAATTCACTTTTTGTTTTTTTTGGTTTA